AAACAAGCAACTGTGAATATAATGTTAGGTATTATAATGTTTTCAAATACACTTACAATAAAAAACAATCAATACAGAACAAAAAAAAAAGAAATAACGATGCATAAATAGATCATTTAAAATAAAAACCCCATTCATTTTAAGGCAAATGTATAACTGTTCAGCCTGCTCTTGTGCTATGTTGGATAAAGGGAGCACAGCCACTCCTCTCTTAGCGTTACTGAGCTCTGTGACTAAGTCACTCAGTTGCGAAATGTCTAATATTAAATAGGGAAGGAAGTGAAAAAATGCCATCAGCATAAAAATGAGGTTTTATAGCTAAGAAGCCATATTTAGCAGGACCTTCTCAAGGTATTGCCARTACTATTGACAAAGCATTGAGCAAAATCCATGCCTTGAAAATAAAACTAGGAAACCAGTCTTACAATCAATAGAATTTCTAACTTTCTTCAGCARTGTAGTTACCCAAGAGATAATGTAAACTAAATAAATTATCCTTAAAAACCTSCATGATGAATAAAAATGCTCATTTGTAAAAAGGCAGAAGGTAGAAGAGGCTGACTGCATCTCAATGACACTCTCCCTCCTACTTCCTCCTTCCACTGAGATTTAGCAATAGAACTTAATTAGATTTAAAAATAAAATATTAACCTTAATGACTTGGCTGTCTGATTTATCTGGATCTTCTGCAGATTGGACAATTAGTTGTCCAATTTCTTTGTGAAGTTTTCCCATTGTCATTGCCTCTGTGTAAGAAAAAAAACCAAAACACCACACATAAAATCACCTTTTTGTGATACCTAGAAATGCACATAAATATCACAGCAAACTGAGGAATCTTTTCATAACTGCCATTTAAAATCTGTTGGTAAAGGGAATGAAACCTTGCATCAACAGCCAGTAYCTCTGAAGTGGCCCTAAGAAGATAAGGAGCAGCAAGATGATAAGCAACCCAAAAGCTTTTCTTTCAAAAAGTCTCTAATCTTCAAGTATTTAGTGMCGTGTTTTTTTAAAGACTCATGTGGTATCTCTCCATTCAGCTGAAAGTCTCTTCCATGTTATGGATGTTACGAAATCTCAATTGTGAATTTGTTGGAAGATAAACCACATCTTTTCAAATTCCAACTTTAACCAGTTTTCCAGGGTTGCAATAAAATTAAAAGACAGAAACTTACATATTGACTTTTGAAAACCTGGATGGAAGAAAGATCGTGATTGTTTGACCTACTGCAAGGTTGAGCAATTACTGTCAACTCAGGAATAAACTGCCTCTAAATCCAGAATATAAACAGTAACCAACCTTTTACTACAGGTGAAACTGTAATCTCACTGTCTGCCAAATTCACATACACATCATAGAGGTCTGATCTACTGTTCACTTCAGAGTCTGTAAATCCAGCGATGTAACCTAGAACGCAGAATTGAGCAAGATTAGGATCTTCATAAAAAAACCAAAAATCACAACCCCAAAGTCTGTTCTAAGAGTATTTGACACAGTGCTCATAGGACCCAGTAGGTTGCTCTGTTGATATTATTAGTCATTTAAAAAATGTTCAGCAGATGCTTCATTTCCAAGGAGGTTAAAGATCAACTTCTGAAATTGCCYTGAACATGGATGAACTGCTACCACTACATCAGTATCACCAAGTTATCAATCTGAAATTTTAAACTCTCTTCCTATCTTCCTACTAAAATCACTCATTTGCAACTTTCTCATTATAAAAAAAATCTCAACTCTCGAGCCTCTTGTCACAAAGTCAGCATTAGACTACACYAGAGGAAAAAACCCAGCACATTTTCTTATTTACAGCATGTCAGATGAGCAAGCTTAGAGCAGTTTTTCTCTATGGAAGACGCTTAGTGAGCTGTAGAAATGTTGAATATGCGTAGTCTTCTTGCTCACTTCTGTATAAGGAAGCTTCTTAATTGCCACATGATGTGTCACAGTAACCTTTGCATYAGCCAAGGGCCTGTTCCTGGATTATGAATTAAGCACTATGCATGTACAGCAGTGTGTCACACAGACCATACTCCTATGTAGCCRTAAAGTCTGCCTGTGCTTAGGAGCCTCAGGCTTCACTGACATCAAAATAAAAGTCTGGAACTTCAGAGTTACAAACGTAAAAATACCCAGTAATTCTGTTACTAGTGATGTGTAGAAATTGGAAAAAAATGTAGCTTATCTAAAGTGAGCTGCTTCTGTACAACAGGAAGACTTTCAATCTCTATAATTAAAGCATAAAAAAAATTTCAGGCTGCTTTGCTTCTGTGATTACAGATAGACTGATGTGGATCCACCCAAAGCCMCCAGATTAACTAATTATCTTCCCATATACTTGTGTAGTTGATTTGCCTTTTCCAAAGAAAATTATGTTTACCCTTGATCAATACCATTAATAGCAAAATAATCTTTTTTCCCTTCCAAAGTGCATTGGTGCAAGACCTTGAAATTAAATTTTCCTTGTATTTTTGATTAATAAATTATCCCAACCTGTGCAGGCTTTTAAGGCTTCCAGTTCCTCCTCATTTAGATGCACATATGAATGAAGAATTGACCAGTCTTGTCGATGCCACACTAAAGCAGGCAAAGTCCTAGGGAGATCAGAGTGCAATTTCAGACACAGTAGATTTTTACGTACACTAATTACTGTTTTTTYCCCCTAAGCTACAGGCTTTTTTCTCAATGCAGGTTCAGAATTTGTTTGGCTTCTGGGAGTGGATGGGAAGGAAGGAACTGATGAAGTACCTGGTAAATTCCTGGATAGCTTCTATTCTAGGATGGTACACTACAATTCTCTTCTTTAACATCAGTGCTGTATATAAAATAACTGTTTCCATTCCAAACTGAGACACTATATCTAGAAAAGATAGAAAATTATTTTTATAGAAAATTTTATAGAAAATATATATGCTGATATTATAATTAGTTTTCTGAACAAGCTTAATAATAACAACCGCTTAAGTAATACTGTTAGCACTGTTTACTTGAAGCACACATGAAAACAAGATTGTACTTTATACTGTAAGAACAAAATCATAATAGAGACTGGCAGTAATTAACCTTTGATGGAACCAGCAAGGTAAGCCTTCCGAGCATCAAAATCCTTGCTGAGGAAGGATCCATTTTCTTCACTTTGGCAGATRCCCTTTGTTAGGACTGCAATGTAACTCTCCATCATTTTAACTGGACTTCCATGCTTCAAGTAGATTCTGGGTAAAAAGAAGAAAGTCTGATATTTTAACTGCAATAAGTATATATATGAAAAATTAAAAACTAAAAAACAGTATCACAAATAGCAATATTACTGGCAAGACTTTTCATTTTGGACACCTGGTTGAGGTTTTAAATACTAAACCAGAAGTCTCCCAACATGTACACAAACACACCTGCCTTTTAGAAACAAAATAACCCTGTGTTCTTATTTCAGTTTTTGATTTTATGAATGAACCAACATGAACTAAGATAGAAACACACCCAAAGGTGTAGGGAGGTGTCCAGACAAAGGATTCTTTGCTGACTTGGAAGGTGTCCGCTTTATGAAAAAGCAACTACCACAGTAACTTTTGTTATTACATGCAGACTACAATGAGTAAGTTTTTAATTTTTTATCCAAGTATCATTTGCCATTCTTCTATATTCTTTGTTAAATGATGAAAGAAAAAGATAAATATCTCCTTGATACTCATTAAAAAAACCAAAATGACACAGAAAAACCACACACAAGAGAAAGCATGCACTGTCAGCTGTCTGCCAGGAAACAGAGAGACACTAATCTATTTTACAGGTTTAGATATTTCAGGAATAGCACTAAAGCTGTCAACTMCACATTTTTCATGTTAGCTATAGTACAAAGCCACATCACACTGGAAACTCAATTATTAATCATGTTTAGAAAAATCCATTCTGGATTTGAAAGGAAGTACCAGCTGATAAATCAGCATTAATGCAATCCACAGTAATTCTAAGTATTTCATGTATCTGTTTTTCAGTACCCTGCAGAATTAAGAAGCCTGAAGGCATTTCCAAGTCTACATTATACATAGTGAGTCCCAAGAGCACAATAACTTCACAATTGCATCCAATTAGCTGCAAAATCTCAGGGAATACTTCTGGGATCAAACTAATTTGGAAACTGAACAGAAGGCAAAATAAGAAGCAGAGAGAAGGGAAGTGAGGAAACAAGAMAAGGAAACAAGAAGATGGCAGTTTGGCTGGAAGAGGGCTCTCACTTTCCTAGAGGAAAGAAAAAAACATCCCTGGGTGCTGTGCTTAGCTCAGAGAAGCTGCAAGAAGTATCTACAGAGATGTTGTGAAGGGATGCAAGTTGTTCACCATACACATGATGATCTGTAAGTCCAACACTGGCCTCTTCCCAAACACACACAAAAAAAAAATTTCTCAGAGAAAATAATGTGAGGGTGGTAGCGGTGTGTGTCTGGAGAAGACACACATTAAAACCCAATCAACATCTGACATTCACCCAACATTTACTGCATGAACTCCTGACAAGCTCAAATCAAGGATTTTTATTATCTGATTCCATTTGTAGGACTGAGCTCCCAGCAGATTGTTTGAACAAATGCAGTACAATGAATKTAACCTTTTGCTTTGGCAAGATCTAAGCATGCAAACAGCAGTACCTCAGCYCTGCTTTTATACAGACCTACAGAGAATCCTGGTGAAGGCAGAATATTTCTCTGGGTTGAAGTCTTTGGCCGTCAGGACAATGGAGAAGTGGGTCACCTGCACATGACACAGGCACAGAAACACAGAGCTCAGTTAATGACCCCACAGGAACAGCCTTTGTCACTTCACTGTCCAGGTTCGAAGTTCCTAACTACGGGAATGGCATGGATAGCAGATTTCTGRTGTCACTTAGCTCTAGTACAGACCATCTTCTGCTCAACCTATACAAGAATTGCTGTCCTCTAACCTCATGAGTTTATTGAAAAACGGAAAGGCATTTTTCTTCCCCACAGCAGGAAGGAAACTTCCAGAATTTGTTGCCAAAGGAGGCTGTTGAGGCAGACAGCACTACATATTTAGAGGGAGACTGGAAAAAAATACAGAGAGAACAGGCCCACAAACAGAACTACTCTAACTTCCTCAATCAAATGATTGTGGATTGCGACAGAACARGACTGAAACTCTGCAGACAATGACYAGTGTCCTCCAGAAACAGCATCYCSCACTGCCATGGTCACAGCCACTATGACACGTTATTTTATTTCATGGGAGATGTAAGCTTGGAGTGAGGAAAGGGAAGAACATTCTGCTGTGGGCGTGCAAAATCACCACATAATCTTTCTACTTAACAACATAGCACGAAACATGAAAATAGAACRAACTTAACAGACAGTTTAATGATTTCCATAACAGGGAAATGATAGAAGATACAAACATATTTGCTGTCTTCCAGTAATCAATGCAGTTGAAAAGAAAGTACCTACATAACTTGACCCTTTGGGAAAAGAAAAAGCATCAAGTTCTATAGAAAAAGATTTTGAACACTATGAAACAAACTTTGCAGAGAGAAATGAACTGCTGAACTTGCAATGCAAATTAACTAGAAATAGCAGCATGAAATAGAATTTGCATGTTAACACAACCTAAATTGGGCAATGAGTAGCTCTATCATTATGCAATTCTATCCAATATATGTCTTGGTGAAAAATTAAAGGTAGACTGGTTGGACACCTGGATAGAGCTGCATCTGTGAACACACAACACTTTGAATCCCTTTTCATAGCTCTTCCTCATGTTTCCCTCAAAAGGAAAACACTGCTTAACCTGCAGAGAAAGGTCTGCAGAAGCCTTCCCTGCACTCTCCTGAAAAACCACTCCAAGTCCTACCTTTTTCAAGGCTGGAGAATCTTGAACTTCTACCGTTGTGATGTAGAACCAAGACCTTTTATACTGGCCAAATACAAACGTATGAAGCAATTTGTTTTCATCTGTAAGGCAGCACTTTCGCAGCAACAGAGTCCTCAGTTCAGCTGTTACGGACGGATAACACCAAACCCACAAAGCATCTCCGTTGGTGTCTTTTTCTATGGTGGAAAGATGTTCACTGTGAGAATGCCAAACAGCAGCAAGGAAGTAAATTGATGGGTTAATCAAGTTTGTTTCCTGCAATCAGATTAAAATTCCACTTTACCCTGACCCTAGACATCCAGTTCTGCCACTGCGGTTTAAGCCCTGGGGCAGCAATTCTGACACAGGTTTTTATTTTTTCAGTATTAATAAATCTCCATTCTTGACCTGCTTCATGAGGTCAAAGAAGCACCAAGTCTGAATACACATTCCAYGTGAGGACGATCTTGACGAATTAGCACCGGACCAGATCATTTATGATCTTCCCTATTTCTGATTTCGCAACACAAACCTCGGAAGCCGCGAATTTCAGACACTTCGGCCGAGTTGTGCACGGCTGAGCTCTGCAACAGGCAGAGCCGGCACCCCCGGTTACCGCCCGGGCCCGCGGCCTCAGCGCGGCAGAGCCCCGGCACCGTCCCCGGCCCGGCGCGGCTCCCCCGGCCCTCACCGATCAGCCCCACGGCCCGCAGCAGCTGCGCCTCCGGCTCTGCCATCTTCGCTCCGCCGCCTTCCGCCCGCCCGAGCCCGCCCAGCCCTCACAGCCCCGCTCCACCCGCCCGAGCCCGCCCAGCCCTCACAGCCCCGCTCCGCCCGCCCG